CCTCTCTCTCTCTCTCTCTCTGTATGTGTGTCTGTGTGTTGTTGTTTTTTAAATGGTCCATATTTTTCCACCGCTAATCCCAAAGCTAGACAGCCAGTAGGAAATGCCATGTGCTCAGGAAACTGGGACAGTACCTATTTTATTTGTCTCGTGAGACATTAGGGGAATTGGAAATTTGATATAGTCTGATTATAAACCTGGGTTCACCGCTATGTCGACTACTCTGGATTATTTTGTTAAAAATCACCTTCCAGTCGCATGATGTTTATGTTCCCAATGTGCACTAACAGCACTAACCTTATCAAGTTCGTTAGAGTTCAAGACAACGTAGGGAAAGACTTTCTCTCGTCGTTCCTTCATGATTTTTTCCCCTTTTTTCTCTCTTTGTTGTTTTCTTGGCACGTAGTAGCCGTTATTGTGTCGAAATAGGTGGTTGGCAGGTGCTCATGTGTAGTTTGCTTCTTTTTTCCTTTCACACATCTGTTGTCCTTATCTCTTCGTCTTTTTTGTGCTTGTTACTCTCGTGTAACACATAATCCTCGATACTTGAGATAATTGTATTGCAAACGCCGTAAAACGCCTACTAAAATTAAACTAATATTCGGCACATATTTGACCTATTTATGTTGGTGCAAATGAAATTTTATCGGTTTAACTACCCTTTTAACACCAATAGGTTATTTTAGAGACGGGACCTCCGAAAGGCCCGAGCCAATTGGAAATTCGTGTAAAGTGCCTTTGTCAGGGACACAACGTCGGACCGAGCTGAGGCTCGAACCCCCGAACCCGCAATCTCCCGCTTTCGAGTCCGGTAGTCTAACCACTAGACCACTGCTACCTATTTATGCTGTAAGTGCCGTATGACTCTTACTAAAACCCAAACGGAAGTGCACTGACCTTTGACCCAAGATCTGCCCCTTGGCGAGTTCGGGTTTGGGAGTGAGCACCGGGTAGGCTCTGTTGGCCGCCATTGTGTAGGGGCTGTAGTGCATGATGGACTCCATGTCGTAGGGAGCTCCGTGCGGGTCCAGTATTGTGCTGTTACGGATCCTGTGAGGAGAGTGAATGCGTAAATGTGTTAGCGTGTGTGGGGAAGGGGGTGCCTCCTTGTGTGTGGTGGAGGGGGTCTGT